GATGTACATGGAGCAGAGGGAGGGGAAGGGAGGTGTGGGGGTGAGATCTGAAGGCAAAGCCCATGCTAAGGAGTTTAAATTTTGTTCTAAAGACAAAGGGGAGCCACTAAGCAGGTGAGTGACCCCATATTATTTACATATACACAAATTATATTACTTATCTCATTTAATCATCTCAAGAGATCACCAGGTAATTGGTACTTGAAAACAAAGACGGAAAAACACTAAAAAGTTATAGGTTGGATCCAGAGGTCACTGACCAAAACACTACGCAGAGCCTGAAACCTGAATCTTCAAACTCCCAAGTCCAGCGTCATGCTCCAGCCGCAGCTGAGCACAAAGTAGAAACAATGGCCAGGATGAGAATAGGGGTGTGATGTGGTGTTTCTTTGTGCACATTCTGGGTACATGACAGAGGAATTGGGAATGAATGTCATAGAGGGATGTATATCTTTCTTTCTTTTAAAAAAATGTTTAATTCCAGAAGAGTTAACACACAGCGTTATATTAGTTTCAGGTATACAACATAGCGATTCAACAATTCTGTATATTACTCAATGCTCATCAGGATAAATGTGCTCTTTAACCCCCATCACCTATTCACCCATCCCCCCCACCCACCTCCCCTCTGAGAAGCACCAGTTTGTCCTCTGTATTTAAGGGTCTGGTTTTTTGTTTCCCTTTTTTTTTTCCTTTCTTTCTTTTTTTTGTTTTTTTTTTTTAATTTTTTTTAATGTTTATTTATTTTTGAGAGAGACAGACAGAGACAGAGCACAAGCGGGAGAGGAGCAGAGAGACAGGGAAACACAGAATCCAAAGCAGGCTCCAGGCTCTGAGCTGTCAGCACAGAGCCTGACGCAGGGCTTGAACTCCCAGATTGTGAGATCATGACCTGAGCCGAAGCTGGAGGCTCAACCGGCTGAGCCATCCAGGCGCCCCACTTTATTTTGTTTTTAAATTCCACATATGAGTGAAATCATATGGTATTTGTTTTCCTTTGATTTATTTCACCTAGCATTATACCAGATCCATCCATGTTGTTGCAAATGGTATGATTCCATTCTTTATTATGACTAATATTCCATTGTGTGTGTGTGTGTGTATCACATCTTCTTTATCCACATCCTTTATATTGATGGGCACTTTGGTTATTGTAAATAATGTTGCAGTAAACTTAGGCGTGCAAACATCTTTTCAAATTAGTGTTTCATTTGTTTTTTTAAAGTTAATTAATTTTTTATTTTTAAAATTTTCTAAATGAAATTAATTGTCAAATTGGTTTCCATACAACACCCAGTGCTCATCCCAACAGGTGCCCTCCTCAATGCCCATCAACCACTTCCCCCTCCCCCCTCCACCCCCCATCAACCCTCACTTTATTTTTAGTATTTAAGAGTCTCTTATGGTTTGCCTCCTTCCCTCTATGTAACTTTTTTCTTTCCCCCTTCTCCTTCCCCCTGGTCTTCTGTTGAGTTTCTCAGGATCCACATATGAGTGTAAACATATGGTATCTGTCTTTCTCTACCTGACTTATTTTATTTAGCATAACACTCTCCAGTTCCATTCACGTTGCTACAAGTGGCCAGATTTCATTCTTTCTCATTGCCAAGTAGTATTCCATTGTGTATGTAAACCACATCTTCTTTATCCATTCATCAGTTGATGGACATTTAGGCTCTTTCCATCATTTGGCTATTATTGAAAGTGCTGCTATAAACATTGGGGTACAAGTGCCCCTATGCATCAGCACTCCTGTATCCCTTGGGTAAATTCCTAGCAGTGCTATTGCTGGGTTATAGGGTAGATCTATTTTTAATTTTTTGAGGAACCTCTACACTGTTTTCCAGAGTGGCTGCACCAGTGTGCATTCCCACCAACAGTGCAAGAGGGTTCCCGTTTCTCCACATGCTTGCCAGCATCTATAGTCTCCAGATCTGTTCATTTTAGCTACTCTGACTGGTGTGAGGTGATATCTCAGTGTGGTTTTGATTTCTGTTTCCCTGATGAGGAGAGACATTGAGCATCTTTTCATGTGCCTGTTGGCCATCTGGATGTCTTCTTTAGAGAAGTGTCTATTCATGTCTTCTGCCCATTTCTTCACTGGATTATTTGTTTTTTTGGGTGTGGAGTTTGGTGAGTTCTTTATAGATTTTGGATACTAGCCCTTTATCTGATATGTCATTTGCAAATATCTTTTCCCATTCCATCGGTTGCCTTTTAGTTTTGTTGATTGTTTCCTTTGCAGTGCAGAAGCTTTTTATCTTGATGAGGTCCCAATAGTTCATTTTTGCTTTTAATTCCCTTACCTTTGGAAATGTGTCAAGTAAGAAATTGCTGCAGCTGAGGTCAGAGAGGTTTTTTCCTGCTTTCTCTTCTAGGGTCTTGATGGGTTTTCAGCAATTTTGAGTTTATTTTTTGTGAATGGTGTAAGAAAGTGGTTTAGTTTCATTCTTCTGCATGTTGCTGTCTAGTTATCCCAGCACCATTTGTTAAAGAGACTGTCTTTTTTCCATTGGATATTCTTTCCTGCTTTGTCAAAGATACGTTGGCCATACATTTGTGGGTCCAATTCTGGAGTCTTTATTCTATTCCATTGGTTTATGTGTCTGTTTTTGTGCCAATACCATGCTGTCTTGATGATTACAGCTTTGTAGTAGAGGCTAAAGTCCGGGATTGTGATGCCTCCCGCTTTGGTCTTCTTCTTCAAGATTACTTTGGCTATTCGGGACCTTTTGTGGTTCCATATGAATTTTAGGATTGCTTGTTCTAGTTTTGAGAAGAATGCTGGTGCAATTTTGATTGGGATTGCATTGAATGTGTAGATAGCTTTGGGTAGTATTGACATTTTAACAATATTTATTCTTCCAATCCATGAGTATGGAATGTTTTTCCATTTCTTTGTATCTTCTTCCATTTCCTTCATAAGGTTTCTATAGTTTTCAGCATACAGATCCTTTACATCTTTGGTTAGGTTATTCCTAGGTATTTTATGATTCTTGGTGAGATTGTGAATGAAATCAGTTTCTTTTTCTTTCTGTTGCTTCATTCTTAGTGTATAAGAATGCAACTGATTCCTGTACATTCATTTTGCATCCTGTGACTTTGCTGAATTCATGTATCAGTTCTAGCAGATTTTGGTGGAGTCTTTCGGGTTTTCCATGTATAATATCATGTCATCTGCAAAAAGTGAGGGCTTGACTTCATCTTTGCCAATTTTGATGCCTTTGATTTCTTTTTGTTGTCTGATTGCTGATGCTAGAACTTCCAACACTATATTAAACAACAGCGGTGAGAGTGGACATCCCTGTCGTGTTCCTGGTCTTAGGGGGAAAGCTCTCAGTTTTTCCCCATTGAGGATGATATTAGCTGTGGGCTTTTCATAAATGGCTTTTATGATGTTTAAGTATGTTCCTTTCTATCCCGACATTCTTGAGGGTTTTTATTAAGAAAGGATGCTGAATTTTGTCAGATGCTTTTTCTGCATCGATTGACAGGATCATATGGTTCTTATCTTTTCTTTTATTAATGTGATGTATCACACCGATTGATTTGCAAATATTGAACCAGCCATGCAGCCCAGGAATGAATCCCACTGGATCATGGTGAATATTTCTTTTTATATGCTGTTGAATTTGATTTGCTAGTATCTTGTTGAGAATTTTTGCATTCATATTCATCAGGGATATTGGCCTCTAGTTCTCTTTTTTGCTGGGTCTCTGTCTGGTTTGGGAACCAAAGTAATGCTGGTTTCATAGAATGAGTCTGGAAGCTTTCCTTCCCTTTCTATTTTTTGGAACAGCGTGAGAAGGATAGGTATTATCTCTGCTTTAAATGTCTGGTAGAATTCCCCAGGGAAGCCATCTGGTCCTGGACTCTTATTTGTTGGGAGATTTTTGATAACTGATTCAATTTCTTCGCTGGTTATGGGTCTGTTCAAATTTTCTCTTTCTTCCTGTTTGAGTTTTGGGAGTGTGTGGGTGCTTAGGAATTTGTCCATTTCTTCGAGGTTGTCCAGTTTGTTGGCATATAATTTTTCAGAGTATTCCCTGATAATTGTTTGTATCTCTGAGGGATTGGTTGTAATAATTCCATTTTCATTCATGATTTTATCTATTTGGGTCATCTCCCTTTTCTTTTTGAGAAGCCTGGCTAGAGGTTTATCAATTTGGTTTATTTTTTTCAAAATACCCAGTAGTGGGATTACTGGATCATATGGCAATTCTATTTTTAATTTTTTGAGGAGGAATGTATTTCTTTTTTGTTTTAAGTGTATTTATTTTTTTTAGTAAACTCTATACCCAACGTGTGATTCGAACCTGTGAGTCACACACTCTTCTGACTGAGCCAGCCAGGCACACCTGGGAATGTTTCTTTTTCTTTTTTAAATAAATTTTTCTTTTATTTTTTTAGGTTTATTATTATTATTATTATTATTATTATTATTATTATTTTGAGAGAGAAAGAGCATGAGAAGTTGAAGGGCAGAGAGAAAGGGAGAGAGAATCCCAAGCAGGTTCTGCACCTTCAGTGCAGAGCCCGATGCAGGGCTCAAACTCACAAACCATGAAATCATGACCTCAGCTGATATCAAGAGTTGGACGCCCGACTGACTGAGCCACCCAGGCACCCCGGGAATGTGTTTTTCTTAGTGGGCTAGTATATGAAGCAGAAGGGCACCTTGCTTTGGAAGAGGTTAACAATTTCTGGGAGATAGAGGAAGTAGTTCCAGAGAGGCTGACCTCAGGATTTTCAGAGTTCTGTAGAATTAAAGAGTAATAGTGACATTGCAGTAGCTCAATTTTATGGAACACTTACTAGGTGCCAGGCACTGCTCTAAATGCTTACACACACACACACACACACACACACACACACACACCCCAATTACAGGCAGGAGAAAGGGCAGGAACAGAGTTCCTGAGATACTAATAAGCCTGGCGTGTTTGATGAATAGGAAGAGGTCAGTGTACTAAGAGCAGTAATGTTTTTTCTCTTCACAGCAAGCCAGCGAAGAAGGTATCGTCATTATCCAAATGTTGCAGGTGATGAAACTGAGGCATGGAGAGGTTAATAATTTGCCCAAGATCACTCAACAAGTAAGTGGCAAGAAATCAAGAGCCCACACTTTTTAACCATGACACGCTGCTATTTATTGAGTGGACAATATGTATGGAAACTCTACACAAATTATTTATGACATGACCCTGAAAGATGGCCATTATTAGCCTCCTCCTTTGATAGATAAGAGAAGTGCGGAGACTCTGAGTAATTTCCCCGATGTTGTTCAGTGAGCTGGGACTCAAATCCAGATGTGCCTGATGCCTAAATCCATGCTTTTTGCTTTACATCTACTACCTCTTACTATCCCCAAGGAGGAGCCCTCTCAGACTGGACTGAGTAGCTGCTCTTTCCAATCCGAAGAAGTGCGGTGCTCAGAACTGAGCGTTTCAGGTGTTCTTGTTATTAATCCACTGAGATGCTTGGATTGAAAGAAAGTAGCTCTGGAGTCTTGCTGAGAGGGGAGTTGGGTCATAAGGCCTAAGGGGCAGGACCCTCCCAGAAGTGATGACTGAGAATGTGATTTTAAAGTCCAAAGCCACAACTTCTCCTACAAGGCAGAGGTAGATAAAGTAACAACCACCAGGGAACTAGACAGGTGCATGAAATGACTTCGGGGGAAGCTCATTCTGTGCGCATTGCACCAGACCTGCTAGTCAGTCTTCTTTTTTTCATGTTTCCTCAATGATCTGACCCATTCGATACTCATTATCTTTCATATCTCCCAAGAGGAGACTTATGGGGACTTTGGTTTTTGGCCAAGAGAAGTCCAGGGTCATACACATACACAAGTTCTTCAGGTCTTATTTCTCTGAATATTTTTCCATGTTCCTCATTAATCTTAAATATCTCTTATGATTATTTCCTAACAGTCAAATTCTTCCAAATGTATTACCAAATGTAATTGTACATATGTATGTGTTTGTGTCTGTTTGATGTTGAAGGGACTATTTATAATGACTATTATGTTCTCACATTGGAGTTTTATAGCATTTAATCACCATGAAATTTGTACAAGGAACAACCTTTTGAAATCTAAAGGTCAGTGCCAAGATAATTAACATTTTAGACAATAAGTTTACGGTATAATAGACCTACTGAAATCTTAGTCAAATTGGTTATCTATATTTAATCTTGTTAAGAATTCCTTCAAAGTTTCCACTGCTTATTTTCCTAGGGCTTTCCAGTCTTATGAAAAGAACTGAAATAGAGCTTTAAAACAATCTATTTCAATGAATCCATGTAGTAAATAGGTAGTGTTGCCATGAGTCAGTTATAACAAAAACCAAAACTGTATGAACATTATCAGCCTGTGATTATAAGGGTCTTATCTGTTAAAGAAAGGATTTATGTCCACAAGGCTCAGAATTCATGAGGTTATACTATTCTATAGATTATTACTTTAATTAACATCCAAGGGTAACCCTGCCAAGTGCAGCCTGGAAGTGAGGGGAGTTAATGGCTTCAGGAACAGCCCTCAACCAATGGGAATAAATGTTCCAGGCCTCCATCCTTCAGATGGACAACTCTACTTTTCAGGAGGTACCAGGGGTCAAGTTAGGAGTGACCTTGACAACGCACTCTTAATATTGGCTTTTCTTCCTTCCCTGATTCACTTTCCCCCACTCCTGTTTCCCAGAATCATCTCACAAATAAACAACCTGTCCTCAGTCCAAGTGCTAGTGTCAAGTTCTGCTTTAGGGAAAATCTGAATGAAGACATTTGGTACCAGATCTGGCTCTAGAAAGCAGACCATTGTAATGGGCCTCTTGAAATCTCTTACCTACTGATGTCATGGCTAGTGGTAAGTGGGGTGGTGTTAATCCTTTCAATGCTATTAGCGTCACAATTGCTAAGGCTCTTGGTGTATGGGTTGGGATGAGGTATAAACGAAAGGGAAAGCACTGAGTTGGTCAGAGGCCCAGAACTTGAGTGGTATGGGGCAGTGGTGATTCTAAAGATGGTGGAGTTGGCTGGATGTCTGCCTTGGAATCCCTGAAGGAAAAGAAGAGATGCAAGTCAGCCAACTATTAACTCAAGGGAGGCTGTAAATGCCAGAAGGCTTGCTTGGCAGCATATGTGGAGATCCTTGTTTCTTGTAGCTATAGGGCGTCCTGTGCTAACAAGCAGGCTCTCAATTTAATAATAAGGTGGCAGGTCTGCAAAGAATACTAGAATGCACAGCTTCCACCAGTCTCCCATGCTAAAGTCAGGGTTCCAGGGTAAATAAATTTGCAAGGATGTGTCTGAGAACCTTGGAGCCCTCCCCGTATTCCTCTGAACCCACCTAGCTGGCAGAAGCAGTGGTCCTCCTTGCTAGAGGAGAGAGAACAGCCTCCCTTCCCTGGAGACCATGCAAAGCCTTATCTAAGATGGCTGTGTTGCAAGATGATGTTTATTCTCAAGATCTGACACTCTCTGACACTCTCATCCGCACCTTCCAGCTCATTGCTTCCAGACCAATTACTAGGGTCAAGTCTCAGCATAACCCAAGAGGGGAGGTTTAATACCTGCTGTGATAGAAATAGATGTTCACCAAAATAATCTCAGGGCATGGCTAGTCTGTACTGTGTAGAACCAAGGAAGCATGTGCAGGAATGGATTTTGACTGTGTTGAGGTGGATGAGGAGGTGGAGGAACAGAATATAGAGCTCGTTAGGGACAGTGAAATGATTCTGGAACACTCTCCCATGACTCAGGATGAAATGTCCTGGCAAAGAAACACGCAGCTGGTTCCAATATCCTTCTGGGTGGCTGCGTGAAGCTTAAACATGATGTAGAAGCATATGGAGGACGGGGTCCCTATGCTCAGAGAGGTGGGCCTGCTAGAATAGATTTATTAGATAAGATTGGGGAAGCTGCCTGCTGACTAGATTCTCAAAGAGGGCTCAGAAGGTACCCCTTTTATAAAGGAGATGAGGAATGCACTAGCAAGAGGCACCAGAATCACTGAAAGTGTCAGTGGTGGCTGCCTTTGTAGGCTGGGACTGACGGTAGTAGGTGCCGTTGCAGAAATGATCCTCCTGGTGTCGATGGGAGCAGTAAGATTTCAGAATAACAGAGACCAGTGGCAGCATGTAAGCATCAGGCGCAAGGGAGACATAGCTATTATAATGACCAGCAAGAGGAGTGTCAGGCAGAGCGCCTTGACCTGCAAGGATCTGCAGTGATGGTTAATAGACTATGGTGTTCTCGAGGCTGAGACAAACGGGTCACCAACTGGGGAATGATTGATTACTATAACCAGAAAGAAAATAAGACTTGATGAGCCAAAGAGTGATGTCAGTTTCCACTATAAATGACTTCTCTTCCGGTTTTCATATTTCAATAGTTCTGACACACAAAGCCTTCTGAAAGGGGGGGGTGGGTCCCTGAAGGTAGGCTTCTGCAACCCTCCAGCAAGTAAATACAGTACATATTCCTGTAGTTCTTCCCCAAGTAGAAGTCCACACGGGGGAAGTTTCATATGAGCCCTGTTCATATAGACGTAGGGTCTGAGCTCAAAATGTTAAAGGCTCCCCATTATATTCCTATTCAATTCAGTTGCATAACCTTTGCAAAAACCAGATGAATGGTTGCAATAAAGGTTGGCTATATAAACTTAAACAAAGGTAGCCCCAATGATAGCTGCTGTAATATATGTGGCATCTATTTGTTACAGATCTGCTACTCCATATATGGCTATTGGAGTATGCCATAAGTGGCTGCTCCCCATATGGGGAATGTAGTTTCTTTTTCCCCCCAATTCTGTCAGTAACAGATGTCCAAGGTGTTCACAACATGGAGCAGACAGTGATGTACTCACTAGCTTGGACTAAGGTTATATCAACTCTCCTGATAGCTGACACAAAATAATCTCCATGGACCTTGACCCTCTTGATATTTTGCAACATAACATGTTGATCCATTGTAGCATTGATATAATATTAATTTGACCTGGTGAACAGAAAGTAGCATATATTGTATATGCTTTAGTTAGAGTTATGTTCTCCAAAGGATGAAAGATAAAATGAAAAATATTCAGAGGGCTGCCATATTGGGACAGTTATTAGAGGTCCAATTGCCTAGGGTTTGCTGGGATATCTTCTTTCAGTAGAAAACCAAATTCTAGCACATTGTGCCCTCAGCCACTAAGAGGGAGGCTTAATGCTTATTGGGTCTCTTTGGATTTGGGACATAACCAGTTTTGAGTGGAGAGCAGAACAAGGGAGGACTTTACCGTAGGCTAAGGTTATACAGCAATCTGCCCCAAACTTGTGCTAAATGATCCAGCAGATCCAGTCATGCTAGGATGTATCTGTGCTAGATGTATCTATGTGTATATCTAGTGTTTAGTCTCTGACCTCCTCCACTAGGAGAATTGCAGCACAGATTTACAGGGTTCTGGACATAATCATGCCTTCTGTAGCAGAGAACCACTCACCATAGGAAAAGAGGTTCTGTAGAGACTGAGTAACTGATCATAGTGATGAGAATAGTGTTGCTCACCATGGGCTGGACATCATCATGACCACTGAGTCACAGGAGCTGCCACAATCCATCGTATGATGAAATGGTTCATAAAGGTCACGTCCAAGCAGGTCTAGAGAGTGTCACCTTTGTGACACTAGTGCCTTTTCCTCAATTCATGCACATGATCTCACAGTAGCCTCTAGATGATCCAGTGGTAGGAGAGGAAAATTCTTGTGTCTGGTTCATCAGTGTATTGGAGGAAGAAGAAGATGGACAGTTGTCTCACTATAGTCATTCAATATTGACTTTCAAGGACAGGCTGAAGGGAATTCTCCCAGTGGACAGAGATACAACTGGTACACTTGGTTGTTTGCTTTGTAGGGGAGGAGAAGTGGGCAGGGATATGGATACACATAGGTTTCCAGGCAGGGACAGATGGCTTGGTTAGTTAGTCAGGGACATGAAACTAGCAAGATTGGAAGGTTGGAGACATGAAGGTGGACCTGTAGGAGTGGGCACAAGGGCATCTGCTCCAGGGGGATGCTCAATAACCAGGTGGACAGGATGACCTACTCAGTGACTAGCAGCCAATATCTCTCCCTGGCCACCCATTGCTTGAGCAAGGAGTTGGCCACACTGGTAGGAATGGAGGCTCTGCCTTTTCCCAAAAGAATGGGCTGCCTCTCATAAGGCAACCTGTTGGCTACTGGCTACTGCCAATGCTGAATTTCCAGCATGTTAGCGTCAGAGAAGGAAATTGCACCCTCAGTAGGGTATGCTGTCTGAAGGACATCAGCCAGCTGCTTGGTGGCAGGTTGATTACATTAGGCCTCTTCCACTTTGGAGGTGACACTTCAGACCGTATTCTGCCAGTCTATAGCTGGGACTTGATTCTATTTAAGGAGAAATACAATTCTTTTGAGAGTA